CAGGAATATTCCCCTGGAGAAGGAAATGGCAACCCACTCCAGTATTCTTGCCTGGGAAATCCCATGGACAGAAAAGCCCGGCAGGCTACAGTCCATGGGGTAGCAAAGAATCAGATGAGGCTAAGCACATATTCATGCAGCAAGTAAGGAGAACACTGGGGATCTTGCCCAAAGCATTGTCTCCCCAGCAGCAAAACTGGGAAAGTTTTAAAGTGAAAGAAAGAAAGAGAAGTTGCCCAGTCGTGACCAACTGTTTGCGACCCCATGGACTGTAGCCTACCGGCCTCCTCTGTCCATGGGATTTTCCAGGCAAGAATACTGGAGTGGGTTGCCACTTCCTTCTTCTTTATTTTTTATTTTTTTGATTATAAATCTATATAGTTTTATTAAGACAAAAAACTGACAGTGTTGATGTGAAGTTTACATTTAAACAAAAGTTTTCACAAAAGCCTATCACATGCCTAAAAATTACAGTGGCGTTCTAGATGCAGGTCAAGACGATGTCAACAACTGATGGATCTTATGACTGAAGACAGTGTTTTGGATTTTAGTTAATTCTTAAAATTAAAAAATTTGTTTTGTTTTAAAGTGAACCACTGCCCCAGTATGAAAATTAAATCTTCTCCTGAGTCCAGGGCTTTTGAAATCATTCAACTCTTGAACTTGTGCTGTCAGTGACTGAACCCTGCCACCAGTGGTTTCAAAGTTCAAAAAACAGAGGCTCCAAGAGTTTTCCACCCTATGAGCACCGACCCTTGTCTTTCCCTACTCACTTACCTCCTATGCCACTCTCTGCCCTTCCCTAAATACTTCACCAGTGGCTTAGATGGAGAAGCTGATATTGTTAATTTCACAACAGGAAAAGAAAGGGTCTTCTTGTCAGTTTCATAAGTAGCACCTCTAAGACAGAGTGATCTGCCTGTGTATACACTCCAATAAGACTTTTCCTCCTCAACCAGTTTCCATCCCCCAAATGGCAGCTTTGGCAGCTTCTTAGTCCTTTCTTGGGAACAGCATTAAGCTCAGGCAGGGAATACCTTGGCTTCTAAGTTTCAGGCATTCACAGCTTTTAAACAGTCTCTCACAGTCCTCATTTAGGTTGCCAATGACATTTTTTGAAAGGGTACAATATTCTGAACACAGAACCCAATCATTAGTTGTTCTTTTCTTTTGTTTCACCATTTCCCCAAATTTTAACAAAAATGATCCTAACCCATATCCCTTCTTTCCCACCCACCCCAAATAATACACCAGTAATTGCCAAAAACTGCACACATGCTACGCTGTAAAAATGCAGAGTTAACACTATCGGGAAGAAGCCTGTGTGGGTTGTGGAGATGCTCTTTGAAGATTTACAGTATTGCTTGCTCTCCCACATCCCATTTTGCATTTTGTCCTTCATAGAAGGCCCTTGGTTTTTTGTTGTTTTTTTTAAGCAAAGTTCAGAACGGGTTGCCTTGAAACACTGACCCTCCTTCACCTCCACGGGGATGGGTGTGCAAACTATACAGCATGGAACGGCTTTAAAGCACTTGGGCTGCTGTAGGGCACAGAAACTATACTGGCTCTTCAAAGGACATCTTCTCAAGCCACCTTTATGGTGTCAAGACAAGTAGAACTCCTTCTTTCCCCCCTTGAAACCCACAGTCAGATGTGACAGGGGCTGGTATTCGAGAAAGTTAATTCTTATCATCTTTTTTGTCATCATCCTCTGAGGGGTAAGAATGCCACATCAGCCTTTCCTCATAGAAGGATATGACAACCTGCGGGCACTTGACATTGGCTTCCTCAGCAGGAACCAGGTCAGCCTCATCAGAGTTCTTCTGTTTCATAAGGAACATGAGTTCCCACTGGAGTCCCTGGCTCCAATAATCCGCTCTGGTTCCAAACCCCAGGCCAAGCCTCACGGCTTTTCTGACTCTTCTTTCTTCCTCTTTGGTTTGCTCTCCTCCCCCTCATCTTCTGAATCAGAATCAGCTTTGCTCTTGCCTCCCTCTGATTTACCTGTCTCGTGTGCTGTTTTCTGTGACTGCAGAAACTCAGCAATGAGGTCAGGACAGTCCAGGCTCTCTTCTGGTTCCCGTGTGTTATCCTCATCGGAGGACCCCTTCCCCTTCAGCAGGTACTCCACTTTGCCCTTCACCACTCGGCGGTCTAGGACTTTCTCCACCACATACTCTTCCTCCTCTTCTTCCAGCACCTCCTCCACTTTCTTCTCGTTTTGTTTTTTCCCCATAGTGCCCGCCAGCTTTCTGGTATAAAGGATGACGCTGCTCAGAGCAGCGTCCACAAACCCGAGAGGAGTCCGTGCCGCGCTACTGGCGGGTCTTGTCCGGCCGGCCGGGGGAGTGGCGACCAGAAAAGCAACAAGCCGGGTGACCACTGTCGAGCCCCCTCACTGAAGCTGCATGCCACAGGCCCCTGCCTACGGCCTTCCCCTCAGACGAACAAAAGCCCTTCTTTAAACTGAGGGTACATGCATATTCACGAAGGGGCTTGAACAGAGAATTCAACATAGAATTGGAACAAAGGCCAACAGAGCCCAAGGTTTAGTTGATTGAAGTCTGGAGGGTCAACATCATCTTCCCACCCTCCAACTGGGAGGGAGCCTTAGTTCCTGTGGACCTCAAAGGTATTATTCCCTTGAGGAACCAGGACCCTGCCCCTGCTGTGGCAGTGCTGTTTCTTGACTGCTCCTCCCTTGTTTCAGCATTCCCTCAAGTGGCACTTGTGGTAAAGAACCCGCCTGCCAATTCAGGAGACATGAGAGATGTGGGTTTGAGCCTTGGGTTGGGAAATCCCATGGACAGAAGCCTGGCGGGCTGCAGTCCATAGGGTCACAGAGCAGGACACAACTGAAGTGACTTAGCGCACACGCACTGGAGTTAGATTATCTAGTTCACCCAGTAATTTTAGACTTCCTGGTGGCTCAAAGTGTAAAGAACCTGGGGACCTGGGTTCGATCCCTGGGTCGGGAAGCTACCCAGAAGAAGAATGGGTACCTACTTCAGTGTTCTTCCCTAGAGAATTCCACAGAGAGAGGAGCCTGGTGGGCTACAGTCCATGGAGTTGCAGAGAGTCAGACATGACTGAGCAGCTACCACCAGCAAGATCATTAATTACTAAGACCCGCTAAAGGACAAGCATTGAAGTCAGGCTTAGATCACAAAATGGTTTAGGTCAAAATGGTTCTCTTAAGTCAAGAAAGCCATATGTGGTTCTCTTTCTCCAGGAACTCTAATCTATCTGCTTTGCACCATCAAAAGACTCCTGTAGTTCCTCAAAAGTTATAAAATGGAATTCTTTTTTAAGCTAAATGCACAGCAATCTTATATTTTGATTTTGGATATTAGCTACTGTTAAAAAAAAAAAGAATTCAACCCAATAAATTTGAAGATCTAATCAGTTTCATTCAGAAATCTGACAATATGCCATCTAGTGAATAACAGGATATTCAAGGAGCTATACAAGATGGAAGGTTTTATAGGCAGGAAGAGGGTAGGATAAGGAAGCTAAAAGAGTAGACTAGTTCAGATAAAGTTTTGGGCAGATTACTTCATTAGTGCTGACCAAGAAATTAACTGACTGGCTTAAAATTTCACTGTTTGGAGAGTTTGAAACTGCAGTTCAGTTAGGTATTAAGTCTTGATGGGACTTAGCAAATAAGTCCATCTTGGGCTTGTTGTTTCTTAACACTATTTACCAAAAAGGAATTGATAGGAGGTGGAGGCGGAATTAAGTGTAATGAGAAAATAGATTCAAGACATAATTATTTGATCCAATTTGGTGATTAGATGTGAGGACTTTGGGAGAAGAGTTTATGGCTATCCCTAGATTTCTGGTCTGGAAAATTGGGTATATACCAGAAAGCCATTTCCCAAGAAAGACAGCATGTATAAAGCAGGTTTGTGGGGATAACATGAGAATTGTTTGTTTTGAGGGGGGCGCTGTGGTGGTTCTTCATTGCTTCATCGGGCTTTCTCCAGTAGCGAAGAAGGGGTGCTGCTCTTTGTGTGTGCAAGGGCTTCTCACTTCATTTCGGGGCTGCTCCTGTTGCAGCATGCAGGCTTCAGTAGTTGCAGCTCATGGGCTTAGTAGTTGTGACACACAGACTAAGTTGCTCCTCAGCATGTGGAATCTTCCTGGACCAGGGATCAAACTGGTGTCCCTTGCATTGCAAGGCAGATTTCTTAACCACTGATCCACCAAGGAAGCCCAGGAATGTAGTTTTAAGTCTCTTGAATTTGAGGAATGCCAGGAACATTCAAGTGGAGATATTTAATAAGTAGTTGGTTATCTGGGCTAGAGCTCAGGCATAAGGGGGAAAAGAGCATATGGATGATACTTGAATCCTGGATTGTACCCATGAGCAAGTGAGAAGAGTCCTGAGGAATTGTGCTTAGAGGAACACGGATATTTAGAAGCAGATGAAGTAAAAAAAGGTTGGAGGAGAAGTAGGTCTTGGAGTTATAAGAGTCAAGGAAGGAAAGAATTTCAAAGACAAGAGAAGAATTGGTGAGAAGGAAGGCAGTAGCTTTAGAAACGGGACTTTTTTTTTTTTTTAATGTATTTAAATGCTTCTGTGAAAGGAACTGGGGGACGCAGGCTTGATCTCTGGGTTGGGAAGATCCCCTGGAGGAGGAAATGGAACCCACTCCAGTATTCTTGCCTGGGAAATCCTATGGACAGAGGAGCCTGGCAGGCTACAGTCCATGGGATCGCAAAGACTTCGGACATGACTGAAGTGACTGAGCGTGAGAGGAACCAATAATCAGAGGGATGGGGGGGCCTGAGGGAATAGAAGTAGAGAAGACTAGTCTTTATACCAGAAGAAGGCATAGAAGTTTATTTACTGGAGAAATGTAAAAAGCAAAGCTATATTGCAGAGTATTGGATGAAGGAAAGGTACTGTGAAAGAGCCTTTTGTGCCTCCAGAAAATTACTGTATTTGAAGGGATTCTTAAAAATTAGACTCTTCATCAGTTCATGATTTATTTTAGGAATCTGGAAACTGTTTCCAAAGGAAAAAACCCATTAGTTTGGAACTAGAGGATTTCTTTGCATCAGACGCTAAGATGAAAGAATCACCAACAAGTGGTGAATGTGACAAGGCGGTGGAGACACATGTGAAGAGACTAGATGAGATTAAGGTAGAGCCCGACAATCCTCAGGTAGGCGTTTTACCTTATTTTCTGTTTTCCATAGTAGCATTTAATTATAAATTTTAGGTATGCAAATGCTAGTTTATTGGTTAAAAATCTTAATTCCTTCCCCAAAGCAGTTGACCAAGTAATGTAGAATATGTGGTTAAGTGCCATAATAAGCATGTGCAAGAATGTGAGAGAAAGATGGACTGTTTGGATGTGGGTACTGGGTTTAATAAAAAAGATTGCTTAGGATATTATGGGTCTATTTGAGGTTAGCACATATTTGTTTTCATTTTTCTTAACTTGAAACAATACAAATAACTAGTTACATGCTTTTGTGCCACTATCTCTATTAAGTAATATAATTATTTAGTACATTTTAAGTACTTAGAATTTTTCTTCGTTTATCCAGATCAGATTCATTTTTATCCTTAACTTTTTTACACTTATCAAATGCTGAAGAACCCGTAAAGGATAAATTAGATCAAGCTGTAAGCAGGGCTAAATTTCCTTAGATTGTTTATATATGAACCTGCTGAAATTTACAATGAAAAGCAATTTCATTTTAAATTTACTTCTAGTATTCTGTTTAGAAATAACATAAAGTAAATTAGTACCAAGTAGAGGGTATGACTCCCATTGGGTGACAATGGCCAATATTAATATTGTCCATCTAAGAAATACCTGTCACTTCTTCAGTCCTTGAACATTCAAAGACATGAAGCAAGTTTAGGTTGATTGCCTGATGCTCTGAAAAAATCCTGCTTTGTAAGACTCATTCAGCCCAGTCCAAGAATCTGTGTGTTTAAGGTCTTTATGCAGACAGTTAGCCGCTAGCGATCAGAACAAGAAGGGGGACAAGCACCGTCACTGAGTGTGTCTCCCCTCTGTGTTGGCTGCCGAGGGACTAGGGCAACAGGCGGTCCTAAAGCCGCGCCTCGGCACGCAGTGCCTGCCGCGCTCAGTGGGCGTGGCCAGCCAGACGTCGCCGGAAGGGGAGTGTTTGCTTACACTCCGTGGTTCAGTGCGACAGTACAATCCGGCGAGCGGACTTGAGCATAACGTATCGTTTTCTATTGATTGTTTTCATTATTTCAACTCTTTTTTTTTTTTTAGGAGTACTGTCAAGCCCAGCAGCCCAAAACTCAGGAGAATGACCTGAAAATAAACTCTGCATTTTCAGACAGTGGTAATAGAATTACTTAAGTTAATCATATTTCTTCTAACCCATCTGATGGCCAGTTTATTCTACTTTTTTAGAATCCCCCTGAATAGTGCATTGATTGTTTTGTGTTTCAAGTCCAGGAGAAGTAACCTCTAAAAGATAGTGAAAGAATGCATACTTAATTTTATATAAATACTAATTTTTTTCCTTCCTGTTTTGTATTTATAGCTCCTCAGATGACTACAGGCATTCAGCTTTCTCTGGAGTCATCTGGCATGAATAAGATGCTTCCTTCAGTTTCAACCACAGCTGTTCAGGTTTCCTGTTCCGGTTGTAAAAAAGTTTTTCAAAAGGGACAAACTGCTTATCAGAGGAAAGGTTCTACTGAGCTTTTCTGCTCCAGACTGTGCATCACTGAATACATTTCATCTGTCAGTTCACCAACTCTTCCGAAGAGAACGTGTTCAAACTGCTCAAAGTATATAATTCTAAATTATGCCCTCTTTTACTTCCCTACATAGATCTTGATCAAAATGTTGGTTGTAATTTTCTTTGTATTTTTCTGAAGTAATTACCTTGGTTTAGGGTAAAGAAGCTGCTTCTGCTTTTAGTTCCTGTAATAGGTTGTTCAGAAGTAGTTTTTTGTGTGTTTATTAAGAGAATTGCAGAAATTGAAATGGTAGTTGTGTTTCTCTTCACCTTTAAATGATGTGACTTCTGAAACTTATTTTCCTCTTCTTTACGTTGGAAATTCTATACAGTTGGGATTATTGTGAGTCCATTCTGTTTTATCATTTAACTGTATAGGAAGTAACTTACTGAAAAATTAATCATAATAAGTTACTTTTTGACCTTCCAAGGGGTAAAGTTTTATAATGCTTCTCTTGTAGTGGCAAGTGAAGTTGTTTCATAATTTTCCTTTGAAAAATTTAATGGCCTTCAGTAAACATAGATGTATGTATGTAGTCTTAAGGTTTCTGTGAACTACTATTGGGGTCTCTTTTGCTAACTTTTTTACTTATGTGAGACAATTTAGGTAAGGAGAAAAGACGTAATAGTGATTTCATAACATCCAGAATTTTGAACTCTACACTGAGATATATAAAGGTTCAGTGCTTTGAGAGTCATATGGTATTATAATTCTGGTTTGTTATTTCTCATTAAATGCTAGTATTAAACATTTTAAATGTTCTTTGTTTCAGAACAAGAGAATACATGAGCCACCAGTTTTGCCACTGAATATGATTAAATGCCTTTCAAATAGTACCTTGTTTTGGAATCAAATTGCCACGATCTGAATCTTGCTTCCTTAGTTCACATTTTGCTACTATATGTGATCCCTGAGTGGCTTGTCATCTGGGAGCCTGTTAGAAATGTAGAATCTCAGGTTTCCCCAGGCCTATTAATCAGAACTGAGTTTATCCCTAAGTGATTCATATACATGCCAAAGTTCAAACAACGTTGAGAACTTAGTATTCCCATCTATCTTGTTAAATGTACATAAGAATTATAATCATTCAATAATACATTTTAGTGGTCAGAACAATACTGACATGTAATAAGAACCCAGTAAATGTTGACTATCGGTATTCTCTGAACAAACTCACCACCAACTCTTTACATTGGTTGCTTTAGCTCCTCATTTGGCTGCTGCTTCAGGAGTTAGCCGTTGCTTCATCTTCCTCCCCAGAATTCTACTTACCTTTTCTCTTGTGCTTTGTAAACCTTTTAACACTGTACTTTGTTCTTTTTCTTTTTTGTTGTGGGCTGTATGGCATTCTCTTCAGCATGCTTTCTTTCTCTGCAGAATCATAAAACTGGAAGGGACCTTAGAGATCATCCTTTCAAACATTTTCTTTTGGTTTTGAGGAAACTGAGGCCCTGAGAAGTTAAGGTATCATGTTCCTGTGTTTGGAGTTTATCCGTTTACACATCTTCAGCAGAGCTCCCAGGCAGATTGAAAAGGCTGAAGCAGGAAAGATGTAGTGTGTAAGTTGTTCTTTAAGGCAAAGAAATCCAATATGAACAAACAAACAAGTTTTACTTTCTTTGGAATAAAAATGTTTTGATACAAAATACTTAATAGGTTGGGAGGAAAGGTAATGATGCTTAGGCTAGGAGAGGCCATCCATTGTTCAGAATAACATGTACTTTTTTTAGAACTTTTTATTCTGCGTTCGTCTGTGTTCATTAGTATCTTGTATTGATATGTAGTTCTTAGGATTTTTAGCTGATTACCAGTTCCCCATGAGGTTTTTTTAATAAGCAGTGATTTAAAATCTGTTTTGAGTCAGTGTAGGGTTTTTTTTTGAAGATCAGTTGATTTACAATGTTGTGTTAGAGTCAGTGTAGTTTTTATTCTGTTTCATGAGCCAATTGAAAGATAGCTTTGAAAATGACATTTTAAATCATGTTAGAAAGATGAGACCCTTTATTTATTTATTTGGCCATACCTAAAGGAGATCAGTCTTGGGTGTTCATTGGAAGGACTGATGTTGAAGCTGAAACTCCAATACTTTGGCCACCTGATGCACCTGATGCAAAGAGCTGACTCATTTGAAAAGACCCTGATGCTGGGAAGGATTAAGGGCAGGAGGAGAAGGGGACGACAGAGGATGAGATGGTTGGATGGCATCACTGACTCAATGTTTATGAGTTTGGGTAAACTCTGGGAGTTGGTGATGGACAGGGAGGTCTGGCATGCTGCGGTTCATGGGGTTGCAAAGAGTTGGACACGACTGAGCCAACTGAACTGAACTGAACCACATGTCTTGCAGGATCTTAGTTTCCCGACCAAGGTTTGAACCTTCACCCTTGGCAGTGAAAGCACAGAGTCCTAACCACTGGACTGCCAGGAAATTCCCGGTTTATTATTTTTTTAAATAAGGCCTTAGTATGTGAGAAGCCAGCAGTCTAGTATGCTAGTAGCAGTAAAAGCCAGCAAGCATTTTAGACTTCATGCTTTGCCAGTGCAGTTTCTTCTCCCTTCCTTCCCCTCTGGCTAATTTCTTACTATCTGAAAGATCTGCCTCAGATATCTGTACCCTTTATCAGTTCCCATACCATTCCTTCCTCTCATTTCCCCCACCCACCACCCAGATAATTGTTCCATAGTCTGTGTTTTCATAGTGTCCATAACTCCCAAAATACTTATCATAAAATAATGTTCTTAAAGAATTGATATTGCTCCAGTTAGACTATGAACCTCTGGACCTTAGGGACCAGATTATATTCATCTTGGTATGCCCAATTCCTAAACACTGTTAGGAACACAGTGAATCCTAGAAAAAATTTTGTCACAACTTAGATACTGCATTTAGAGCTACAGCTTAAACCAATAAAATGACTGATGTTATGATAATGAAAATTGACCTATTATTTTGGTGCTGTTTAAGGAGGCAGAAAGCTTATAATACAGATAGTCCTCAACTTCCAATGGTTCTCCATGATGATTTTTTTACTTTACAGTGGTGTTAAAGCGATATGCATCCAGTAGGAACTTACTTCAAATTTTGAATGTTGATCTTTCCCTGGGCTAGTGCAATAGTATGAAGAATGATACTCTCACAATGGGGGGCAGCAGCAGTGAGCTCCAGCTCTCAACCAGTCACATGATCTCAAGGATAAACAACTCATAAACTTAAAATCATTATGTACCGTTACAATCATTCTTTCACGTTTGGTACCGTATTCATTAAATTATATGATATATTCATCACTTTATAATAAAACTTTTTGTAGGATGATTTTACCCATCTGTAGGTTATTACGGTAAGTGTTCTAAACAAATTTAAAGTAGACTAGGCTAAGCTTCGATTTTCTATAGGTTAGATGTACATTTTCAACTTATGATATCTTCAGTTTAAAATGGGTTTATCTGGACATAACCCTGTCATAATTCAAGGAAGATTTATACACTAAAAATGTGTTAATATTGGGGTATTAAGTAGTGTTGATTTCAGGAGTATTTCATCTGGAAAACTATTATCTTGAAAGACTAATATTCTGAAGGATCTAGGTAGCCAGATATTTTAGTTTTTCCTGTAGTAGCAGTTCTCAGATTTTTTGGTTTCTGGATCCCTTTACACTCAACAGTTTTCGAAGATCCAAAGGTCTTTATTTTATGTAGATTACATCTAGCTATACATATACTGTGTTAGAATTTTAACTGAGGAATTTTTAACTATTTATTAATTCAATAAATAGTACATGTTGACATAAGTATTTTTTTATGAAAACAGCCTTTTAAAAAATTTAGTGAGCATTGTTTTATTAGTATGGCAAACTGCTTTACTGTCTGGCTGGGTTTAAATATCTGCTTCTGCATTCAGTTTGTTACAGAATGTTGTTTTGGTTGAAGTCTAAAGAAAATCTGACCTTAAAAATAAATATTTAGAAAAGGGAGTAGTGTTTTAATAGCTTTTGAGATAGTTGTAAATGTTTTTTGATACTACTTGAATTGTGGTAGTTTCTTAAATGTTAGTTGTAATGTGGAATCTGAAACCATGTCAGTGAATTTTTTGTACTGTCACCTGAAAATTTAGTGGTCTGTTTGTACTTAGAATGGTTCTTTTACCCGCAAATGATTTTTGCTGCATACTATCATCATTTGGAAAATACTGATTCCCTGAGGTATGCAGACTTCCAAATGTTGTCATTCATTCTACAGTATTTTAAAAATCAGATTTGGTTTTGTTTGCTTTTGTTTTTTTGTAATTTATTTAGTTCTTACTCCTTTTTTTAATGCTATTTTGGCTTTTTTTTTTTGGCCTTTCCCTGTGGCATGTGGGATCTTATTAGTTCCCCAACCAGGGATCAAACCAAATTCAGATTTTCTTATTTCAAGGATTATGTTTCTACTATTTCATAGTTCTTCAGGTATATGAAACAAGGGGAGAGAGTTATTTAAGGGAGTGATTTAGGTTATGAAGAGAAAAAATAATTGTGGTAAAGCTTAATGGTGCCCTTGTTGTTTATTTTTTAGAGACATTTTAAATCTAAAGGACGTGATCAGTGTTCAGCTGGACGATAGTACCACTAGCAAAACTTTTTGCAGTCAGTCTTGTCTTTCATCATATGAAGAAAAAAGAAAGCCAGTTGTTACCATGTGTACTAATAGTGTTTCAGCCAAGTGCAGCATGTGTCAGAAGACTACTGCTGTAAGTTACAATATTTCTTAACCTTTAGGGATTCTGATTATTCTGCTTAAATATCAGAGTTTTTACTGGGTCTTTTTTTTAAATCCTAGATTCAGTACGAAGTAAAATACCAGAGCGTGAAACATAGTCTTTGCTGTAATGCCTGTTTTTCAAAATTTCACTCCGCTAACAACCTCATCATGAACTGTTGTGAGAATTGTGGAGCTTACTGTTCCACTAGCTCTAGTATGTTTCATATACTTCAAATGGAAGGACAGTCTCAATACTTTAATAGTTCAAAGAGTATTACAGCACATAAGCAGGTATGAATAAAGATCACTTCATTTTGAATTTGATTGCATAAGACTCTAGTGAAAAATGGACAGTTGACTTCTGTTAGTTGGTTTGTGAATGTTTCCACCTTAGGAGAATGCGGGGGTATAGATGTTAGTACCACTGGAATTATTTTTAGTTGGTAAGATAATGAAAGAGGTGAAAGAATAGTTCTTTCTTACACAACAATTCATTATAAAAGACTCATGGAGATTTTCCTGGAGAATCTCAGGGGGATCACCTTACCTTGAAGAAAAGGCAAGCAGAAGGAAGCTTATTGATAAACTAGATAGCAACAATAACAATAGTCTATTGGTCAGTAAGACTCAACCACAGAAATGTGTTTTATTTTTAATTCCATATATTTAATTGTTACACCTCATAAGCAAGGCTGAAAGATGAATCAAGAATGTCACATGCTTCTTCTGAATCAGGAATCCTAGTAGGCAGTAAACCAATGAGAAATAATCCTCTGTTTCTGATAGAGGACGTGTGGCCTTGGATGTGTGGCTCTGAGAGCAGAGAAGCTGGCCCTGCTCTGCTGGATTGAGATAACACAATTGGTGTTCTGAGTCCCTTTCACGAGGTGTACTATCACACATCTTGGGCATTCAGATACTGTTTTGAAATACAACTCTATGCCTGTAAATTCTTCCTTAAAAACAAACGACTGATAGTATGAGTCTCAACAAGCCACAGTCCAGCTAGGTCGCTTGGGAGCCACGGCTTTCTGTGGCAGAATCAGTGGGGGAGCGGGGCATAGAGCCCTGTCCCTGAGAGCAGTGAATGCCGCTCCTTCTTACCCCCGCAGTCGGGGAGTAGACCTCCCATTGTAAGAGCCTCTCTGAGTGCCCAGTTACTGAGCCTGTGTGACAGGGCACGACTGACTCGGCTAGATGAGTTAGAAGGCACATCTAACACAGTGCCATGCTACATTTAAGGTATTGTACGGCTTTTTTTGTTTGTTTGGTTTTTGGTATGATTTTGATAATGGAGAAAATGCATATAGTTAGTGAACTGTAGTCAAGAATTAGATTAAGTCTTGACTTTCCCACATGAGTAATATGTCAATTATATCACTATTTGTTGGTTAATATTAAATATTGGTGAGTTATTAATTTCTCAAAATATGAAAATTCATACCGATAAGGGACAAAAATAGTAATTTTCAAAATTATACTGTTTTTTGTTACATTGTTCCTTTGCCAACATTCTTTCACAAAAAATCTATATTATTTGTATTTGTCTTTGCATCTTGTACCCCTAAGACTGTTTCATCATTGTTAGTGTTACCTAACCATTTCACCAAAAAGAGTAGGTGGTGAACCTCTCAGTTTCTCTTCTTTTCCTTTGCACACTTAGCTGCTTACAGAATGCACTATATTCTGTACCTCTCGCTGCTTGTATGTAGCTTTCTTAGAATGTGCTTGCAATTTTTACCATGAAGTTAGGCTAGAAAACTGATTCCCATAGCATTTTGTAATTTGTGTTAGGCGCTTTTTTCTAACTCCTCCTTAGCACCAGTGGAACGCTTTCCTTGGTTGATGCCCAGCTTGGCATTGGGGAAGGATCTGTAATTATAAGACTTGTGTTCATTTATGAACTTGGTTTTGATTTCCTGGGATGAAGAACATCTTTTATGACCACTTCATTGCTTGCATATGTGCTATTACTGCTATTAATATACCTAACAAATAATACAAATAGTTATCTAATAGATTAATCAGTTTCCTTTCATTTTAGTCATTACAACCTATAAGGGCCTTTTCTCTGGTTTTTAAGAAAGCACAAAAATGTGACTTCATTGTTATTATAATATTTCAATTAAGCAGTGGTAGTGGGTATATGTCATAGAGCAGGAATCTGAACTTTATTTTACTCTTTTAACAGAAACCAGCCAAAACACTCCCATCTGTTCTTTGCGAATCATTGAAGCCCTCAGATGAAATGATTGAGACTACCAATGACTTGGGGAAGACAGAGCTTTTCTGCTCTATTAATTGTTTCTCTGCTTACAGTAAAGCTAAGATGGAATCTTCTACAGGTATTATTTGCTTGGCAGTTATCAGAAATTTAGTAACTGTTGAACAATATTACTGCTTTCCCTTAATCGATAACTTTGATTCATTGCCAAATTAAGCTGACTTAAAACAGGTAGTGGCTGGAGTTGAGGCCTGGGAGGGTGAGGAGGAAGCAGGGGGAAAAAAAAGTCAAAACAATCTAAAACTTGTTTCAAAGAAAGGTTTTCCAGTGTTTTTGCATGATAGGAAGATCACTTCATCACAAGATTTAATATTTACTTGTAAAGATTCTTGTATTAGAATACAGAATCTTCTACTTAGCCCTGCTTTATAAAAACAAGGCTCTAAGTTACATTCTTCACATGAAGCAGAGCTACTTGAAAATACTGTGATGTTCACTAATAGAAAGGGGTAGATAATCCAGAGCCAACTATGTATTCCATCCAAGAACCTCATGTAGGACCAACAGTGTTAATTTCATAGACAGTGGAATGAGCGATTTCCCCTGGAGCTTATGCATCATGCAGATGGACTTATTCTAGAAATCTCTGCAATACTTAGACGCCAACCTCGCTCCTTCGTATTGAAGTTGATGAATCCTGGAATGGTTATAAATGATACCTGTTAGGAGATCCTGTAGGAATCTCTCTTGTGTTCTTCATGGGTAATTTCACAGTAAAGATTTGCTTGAAACTTCAAGCAAATAATACGAAAGGACTAAGAAACTCTGCAAATGTAAAAGATATGAAAAATGTAAATTATCAGTTTAATGTTGGTATTAACGTTATCCTAAAGAACCTGGCTATCCTTAAGCCCTAATAAAAAGTACTCCAATACTCAGCAGTACTTAAAGCTATTAGATGTTTATCTTATTCATTGAGATACTTGTTATTAAACAGTGCTTTCTGATTGGTTGATTCCACCTGGTTTATAAGAAATCTTTTCATTTTTATCAATAACTGTTTCAGTGGTACATGATGCTTCAACGAATCTCCCTTCTGCAAAGAAAGACGCAACTCCAGTTATAAGCAATATAGTGTCATTGGCAGATACTCACGATGCCCTGCCCATTGTGAACTCTGATGTATTACAAGGTAAAAATTGATGTGAAGATACTTGACATATCTTCTGTTTGTTTTGCCATACTTGATTATAGAATCTGTCTTTATCCTAAGTTTCCTTTCAGTTGTCTAATATGAAATGAATAATTATAGTTAGTGATACTATTTTATAGATTACGGTATAAGATCTTGAATTTATGCTTTAACAGGTACAGTTTCTTCAGTAACAGCAAATGTCGCTGAGGATGTAAGTTTTATTTTTAATTGTTTTTGCTACTGCCTTTTTTTTTTTTTTTTAATTATTTTTGGCTATGCTGGGTCTTTGTTGTTGCATGGGCTTTTCTCTAGTTGCTATGAGTGGGGGCTACTCTCTAGTTGCAGTGCATGGGCTTCTCATTGTGGTGACTTCTCTTGTTGAGCACGGGCTCTAGGCACATGCGGTTCAGTAGTTGTGGTTCGCAGGCCCTAGAGCACTGGCTCAGTAGTCGTGGCACACAGGCTTAGTTGCTCTGAGACATGTGGGATCTTCCTAGACCAGGGATTGAACCCATGTCTCCTACATTGGCAAGCAGATTCTTTACCACTGAGCTACCTGGGAAGCCTGCTAACTGCCTTCTTTTTTAAGCTTCCCTTTTTTAAACGTATTATATGTGTATTTGAACATATTCATTCCTGTTTTGATCCTGGAGCTCAAAAACATAGAGCAATAAACACCTTTTGGTATTCACATTCAGGTTCCCACATCTCAAGTCTGACCTGAAATTATTAATAAGCATTCCGAGTTATAATAATTGTTAATGTTTCCCTCTAGTGGAGTTCATATGTGTTACTAGAATGGATATGTTTGTTATTTTAATTGACTGTTTGAAAACTGTTTAAACAAATGTTGTCTTTTTCTCCCAAGATTTCGCCCAGTGAATCAAGTAATAGTGTGCAACAGCCTAGCCTTTCACCACCGTCATCTGTAGTCAGTCAGCATACGGTTGCCTTAGATAGAGAAGAACAAAAAGATCATCTGTTAAACCAAGATGCTCCAAACAATATGAAATCCATGAAAAAAAGTGACAGACTACGTCACCCAAAATTTATATCCAAAATACATAAAGTTAAAGGTAAATCACGAAGTATTAAAAAATCTTGGTGTTCAAATTTTCGACGATTAGAAAACAGTATTAAAACGGATGTAATATTCTGTTATTCATGCCAGTTGTTCTGCCAGAAAAAATTTAACTATGGAAGAGAGTCACTTATAGTGCAAGGAATTTCCAATTGGAAAAAAACTCTGGAAAAATTCAGAAAGCATGAAAAAAGTGAAATGCATTTAAAGTCATTGCAGTTTTGGAGAGAATACCAATTTTGTGATGAAGCTGTTAATGACAGTTTATCTAATCATTCAAAAGAGATTGAAGGAAATAAAATGTACCTAAAGCTTATAATTGAAAATATTTTATTTCTTGGAAAACAATGTTTATTCCTAAGAGGAAATGACCAGTCTATTTCATCTGTGAATAAAGGCAATTTTTTAGAATTGTTAGAAATCCGAGCAAAAGATAAAGGAGAAGAAATATTTCGACTTATGAATTCACAAGTTGACTTCTATAATAGTACACAAATTCAAAATGATATTATTGAAATAATAAAGACTGAAATATTGCAAGATATTGTAAATGAGATCAATGTCTCCTCAGCTTTTTCAGTAATATGTGATGAGACAACTGATAGTGCCACTAAAGGACAGCTCTCAGTTTGTGTCAGATACCCACAGAAAACATCAAAGGCTGTATTAATTAAAGAAAGATTTTTGGGATTTATAGATGTTGAAGAGATAACTGGGACCAACTTACACAGGAGTATCAAAGCTTACCTGCAGCAAATTGGAGTTGATTTGAATAAAATACGAGGCCAAGCCTATGATAGCACCAGTAATTGGAGGGAAAAATTTAATAAAATTGCAGCAGAATTTAAGAAGGAAGAGCCAAGAGCTTTATACCTGCATTGTTACACACATTGTTTGGATTTGGCAGTGATTAGGTTTTGTAAAGAAGTAAAAGAGCTCCGAAGTGCTCTGAATACTCTCAGTTCTTTGTTCAGCACTATTCATGGGGAAATGTCGGTAAATTTTCAAAACATTTATAACCTAAGTCAAAACAAAACATGCAAGAAACACACATCACAACCATGTTGGACAGTCCATGATAATACATTACTGTCTGTGATTGAGGGTCTTCCCGAAATCATTGAAACGCTGGAAGTTCTATCAAACCATTCTTCAAACACAAGTTTAGTTGATGAATTGAGTGATTTGTTGGCGTTGGTTTCCAAATTTGAATTTATCTTTTGTTTGAAATTTCTTTATCGAATACTAAGTGTTATAGGAATTATTTCCAAAGAGTTTCAAAGTGAAACAATAGACATTTTTTCTTTGTCTTCAAAAATAGAAGCAATTTTGGAGTGTTTATCATCTGAAAGAAATGATACTTATTTCAAAAGTATCTGGGATGGAGCAGAGGAAATATGTCAAAAAATAACCTGTAAAGGTTTTGAAGTTGAAAGACCTTCATTTCAGAAAAGAAGAAAAATTCAGAAAACTGTAGATCCTGGCAATTCAGACAGTATGTTTTTTCCTACCTCAACAGAAGAACAATACAAAGTTAATATTTATTACCAAGGCTTGGATACTGTATTGCAAAATTTAAAATTGTGTTTTTTAGAGTTTGATTATTATAAAATGAAGCAAATTTCAGAACTGTTACTTAAATGGAATGAACCCTTAAATGAAGCAACAGCCAAAGATGTCCAAGAATTTTATAAATTTGATGCAGACATCATCCCAGAACTTAGATTTTATCGGCACTATGCAAAGCTCAACTTTGTCCTGGAATATGATTTTATCAACTTCAGCAATCTTGGCCATTTATTTATTCAGCATGGTCTTCACAATAATATTCCTTGCATATCAAAGCTATTATATATTGCTTTGTCTTGGCCAGTCACTTCAAGTGTTGAAAACTCATTTTCTACACTGTCTCGTCTTAAAACATATTTATGTCATACCAGGGGACAAGAAAAGCTTAGTGGCTTAGCCCTAATGGCTGTTGAACAGGAATTGGTAGATAAACTGATGGAACCTGAAAGGCTCAGTGGAATTGTGGAAAAGTTTATCCTTCAGGTGAAAGAAATATAGTACTTGCTAACTTGAATTCACCTGAAAGAATTTTGATTTCTGTTGTATATTACAGTTTTTATTTCAAATGTGTGTCTTTTTAAGAAAAAAGGTTTTTCATCAGAACATGTAGCATTTACTTGGTTCAAAATTCATGACATAGAATGATACATAGTGAAAAGGCTCCATCCCTTTTTAAATACTCATTTCCCCCTCCCACAAGTATTCTCTGTTTCTTAAATATCATTCTGGAGATATTTAGTCATAAATGTACTGTGCAGTACACGCTGTTCTTCAGCTTGCCTTTTTCATTTAACATGACATTTTTCTCACATTCCATATATCAGTACATAGAGTTTTTGAGTCTTTTTTTAATAACCACATAAGATTTAATTGTATGGATGTACCATAATATATTGGAGCAGTCCCTACTGATAAACATTTTCTTTCCAGTCTATTTAAGTTGCAGATAATGCTGCATTTAATAACCTTGTACATAGGTCATGTTGCATATTAGTTGCTATAAAATAAAATTTTAAACTGGAATTACTAGGTCAGAAGATTTGCAAATTTTTATTTTTCAGATATTGGCAAAGTGCTTTCTATAAGGATTGTATAATCTTAATAGTCCCACCAACAATGTGAGAGTGCCTATTTCCTCGAATCTTTATTAAGTATTAATAAACATTTTGATCATTGCAAAGTGTTATTTGAACAATGATATGTTGACCACCTGTTACAAAGAACTGACTCATTGGAAAAGACCCTGATGCTGTCAAAGACTGAAGGCAGGAGGAGAAGGGGACAACATAGAATGAGGTGGTTGGATGGCATCACCGACTCGATGGACATGAGTTTGAATAAACTGTGCCAAGTTGGTGATGAACAGGGAAGCCTGATGTGCTGTGGTCCATGGGGTCACAAAGAATCAGACACAACTGAACTGAACTGACTGATACTAATCTCTGTGGAGATGAAATCTCAGTGGAGTTTTTTGTTTTCACTTAAAAGAGTTTTATAGTTTCTGGTCTCACATTTATGTCTTTAATCCATTTTGAGTTTATCTTTGTGTATGGTGTTAGGAAGTGTTCTAATTTTGTTCTTTTACACATAGCTGTTCAGTTTTCCCAGGCCATTTATTGAAGAGGTTGTCTTTGCCCCATTGTATATTCTTGCCTTCTTTGTCAAAAATAAGGTACCCATAGGTGCATCGGTTTATTTTTGGACTTTCTATCTTGTTCCATTGGTCTACATTTCTGTTTTTGTGCCAGTACCATACTGTCTTGATGACTGTAGCTTTTTAGTGTAATTTGAAGTCAGGAAGGTTGATTCCTCCAGCACCACTCTTCTTTCTCAAGACTACTTCAGCTATTCAAGGTCTTTTGTGTTTCCATGTGAATTGTGAAAGTTTTTGTTCTAGTTCTGTGAAAAATGCTATTGGTAATTTGATAGGGATCACATTGAATCTCATTTGAATTTCCCATTTCTGTGAAATTTCACATTTAAACATTAAAACTAAATTTTGCTGTGGTTTTGGGTGACAGTAGGAATTCCTAATCTGCTTTATGAGAATGTGACTATTTTTTGAAATAATTCTGATGGAACTCTTTTTCTGTCTTCACACTTGGTGTGCATCATTCCATGCATATATAATTTTATACTTAATACATAGCCTTGCTCCACCTGATTGTAAACTTTATATAAATCTTTAGGTTACATTCTACTTATCTTTCTGCAGTTTGCCTTTTTCACTTAGTGTTTGAGATTTATACATGGATTTCTAGTTGATACATTATTTTTTTTTTTAACCATTGATTTATATTTTTTTATTTGGAAATGTTTATACCAGTACAGTGAAACTAAATTTTAAACACTGGATGTCATTAGCTTGGATATCCTTAGTTTATTATAAAAAAGAAACATGGAAATTATTTACATAATGAAAGATTTCAGAACTTCAGTGGAATGGGCGGCTTCACATGATGCCATTTCAATAGTGACTTATTTCAATCAACATATTTCCCAAGAATGTCACCATCTCTAAATAAGAAATAATCCTTGTTGTCTAGAACTACTTTGGTGCCTCCATATTCTGGGAGAAAAACTTTATCTCCAACTTTCACACTAACTGGTTGAATCTCTCCACCCTTTCCTTTAGAGCCTGATCCAACAGCTACCACCGTTGCTTGCAATACTTTTCCTTGTGATTTTTCTGGAAGCATAATGCCTCCTTTGGTTACAGTTTCGGCTGCATTTCTTTCAACTAATAACTCGGTCAAAGAGGGGAAGAAACTTTTAAATGCCTGTACTGCCATGACTCCGGCTGCCGCAGTTCGCACTCTGCACTCACGCTGCAGGCAAAAGGAGAGACCTATTGTCGGACCCTCTGGACACATAGTTGATACATTCTAACTGCTGAATTTGTTTTTGTTCAGTTGCTCAGTCCTGTCTGACTGCAGTCCATGGACTGCAGCACGCCAGGCTTCCGTATCCTTCACCATCTCCTAGAGTTTGCTCAAACTGATGTCCACAGAATCAGTGATGCCATCAAACCAATGGATGATGCCAATCTCATCCTCTGTTGTCCCCTTCCCCACTCCATTATATGAATATACATGTTCATCCTTTATTTAAATGGGCATTTCATATAATCTGATTCTGTATTTTTATAATACTGCAGTGATCCTTTGTGTATGTGATATACACTTGTACATCCAGCAAATATTTTTTCAGCATGTATGATACACCAGACACTTTTCTAGCTGGCAGAGATCCAGCAGAGAATAAAATAAGGCCTTGACTCCAGTGAAGCTTACCTTTCTCATGTGGAAATCAAAGATATTAGGAGAGGTTGCTTAGCAACTCCTATGGATAGATGATAATACAGAAAAGAATATTTGTATGCTGCATAGGATAAAAGATGAGGGTTTGAAAGAGCTGAGGCCACTTATGTTGTTCAGTTGCCAAGTCGTGTCCAAATCTTCAATGAGTCAGCTGTTCACATCAGGTGGCCAAAGTGTTGGAGCTTCAGCATCAGTCCTACCAATGAGTATTCAGGGCTGATTTCCTTTAAGATTGGCTGGGTTTGATCTCCTTGCTGTCCAAGAGATTCTCAAGAGTCTTCTCCTGCACCACAGTTCTAAAGCATCAATTCTTGGCATTCTGCCTTCTTTGTGGTCCAACTGTCTCTTAAGTGGCCACTTCAGGTCTTACCCAGCTGGCCTGAAGTTGGGAAGGTCTGTTCTGAGGTACTTTCTTTGAAGTGGACTTGATAGGTCAATACTGTGCATTAGACTTCTAGTTGAACCATTTTTCTACTCCCAGATAATATCTACAGATAATATCTGTATCTGTTGTTCCACATCCTTGCCAACATTTAATATTGTCACTTTACTCTTTTTTTAATCCATTGATTTCTGCTTTAATAGAAGGGAGTTAATCTTTAGCATTCCATGCTTATTGCATACATTTTCATTTCTTTCTGTTTTGTATGAAAGTGCTTAACACTGTGACCTTTCCTCTGAAGTCACCTTTGTGTTTGTCTCATGTGTTTGTCTCATTTTCATTATTTTCTAGCAGTTTGCATTTGTGAAGCTTGGGTGTTTTTTTCCAAATGTAGTCTAAAGTCAGTAATAAATTTAGAACTGAGAAAGAGGAAAATGAAAACTACAATAACTTAAAATGGGATTCTTGGTAATTCCCCGGTGGTTCAGTAGTTCGCACTTTTGCTGCTGGGGGTTCAGGTTCAATCCCTGGTTGGGGAACTAAAATCCCATAGTCTGTGCAGTGCAACCAAGGAAAAAAAGCCACTTTCTTTGTTGAATGTTTACTATATAACCTTAGTACTTTTCTTAGTGCTTGTTATTTCACTTCTCACAACCAGTCATTTTATGGGAGAAATTAAGTCATAGAAGTTAATGATCATGTAGTTAGTAAATGTTGGATGAATCTAGGATTTGTACCCAGACAATGTGACTCCTAATCAGTGTGCTTCTAATCACTGTGTCCTACTACCTTTTATACAAACCATTATCACAGATGTTTTAAATAAAAAAATTCACTACCAGGAGTACATTGAAGAATAGAAGATGACAGAAATAGCTGTGTACTCTTAATCTCCCAGATTCCTTCATAAAAGCAAAAATCTATGCGTGGCATCTGTAGCAAGTCTTCGTGCTACAGTATCCCCACAATCCCAAAACAAGACCAGATAGTGACAGACTCAGAAGCAGCTGTAAAACCTGAGTAGTGCCAGCTATCTGTGGGGAAGGTCACGGACAAAAAGCAGTGCGACATCTGATGGCCTTGAGAAAAGGGGATCTCCCGAAACATCACCACAGGAAAGTGGCAGGCCAGTTTAAAAGCAGCCGCAAAAAGTGAAGGATCCCGCAGCTGCTAATATGCATGTGTTTAAGAGGATTGCTAAACTCCAGACTTGTCTAGAAACTAATAAATGTAAGCTTTCTTCCAAAACAAACTTTTCAAGGAGAACCTGCTGTCTGTAGACACCAGTTTGAGCAGGAATGGACAATAGGGGCAAAGGAAAGAACAGAATGAAGTGGGGGAGAAACGAAGCAGCTGTCAGAACTAGGTCATCTATTTTAGTCACTTTGTGAAAATAATATATTTCATGAACCACAAGGATAGAAAAGGTATTCTGTCCCTTTTTATTTATTTATTTTTATTCTGTCCCTTTTTAAAAAGTATTTAAAACTGATCAATAGAATTGTGGAATGTGATAGAAAATTAGAATATAAAACTAAATCCTTACAAAACAACCTACTGTTTCAAACCAAGGTTAGATGGTAAAATTGTAAAAGAACAGTGTAAACTAGAATTAGAAATGCTCAGATGAGTGGATAAAAGGTGTAAAAATAAATACAAAGAATTCAGGAAAGTTTTAGAAGTTAAAAGGAATAAAAGTCAAAGTGAAAACTAGAAGGAACTCAAACGTGAATAAACGATAATTCCTAAGAGAAATAGATGGAAAGAAGGAAAATGTTTTAAATCGCGAAAAGTGATATGTCATTGAAAACCTGATACCCATTAAAAAAAGGAGTCTGCGAAGAAATCCAAAGCAATGGAAAAGAGCAAATACTAAAAACTTGGTGCAGGTTATTATGCTGTTGTCTATACAACCACCCTTCTATCCTCAGTCTTGTGGTGATGAAGCTGGAACCCTGCACGTTTCTGCTCTGCGTAAGTGCATGCTCAGTCATTTCAGTTGTATCCGACTCTGTGACCCCATTTCTGCTCTAGCTGTATTTATATTAGCCTCTGCCAATAGGGGGTCACTAGAGGGAGAATGCAGGTCTGAAGGAAACAGGATTATGTTTCATCCTGTCTACTTTCTGTGGGCTTTATGTCTGCTTGTGATTCTTGTGAGCATTATTCCAGCCAGTGCTGTTAGACCCAGCACTTCCTTCTCTAGCCTCAGCTGAATCAGGTTGCAGTTTTTATAACACTTGAAGCACTTTTCATCATGCCTACTGTCAGAGATACAAGCGGCCGCTTTTCAGGGATCTTGGTCTTAGGTCCAAGCTCAGAGACCAGCGCGAGCATCATCCCTCCTCAGTGCCTCAACTTTCAGCTCCACGAGGCTGTTCTAGTTCCACTGCTTGCTTGCTTCTCTCATTTCAGGATGTTAGCTGCTCTCTCCTCAGGTTTCCCTGGTGGCTCCGTGGTAAAGAATCTGCCTGCCAA